AAACTTTAGAAATGTGAGCCTGTTAGATGTGATACTTACCCATTCGTACTATGATGACCACTCTGTAAACAAAAATTTTTACGGGAGAAAAAGTCTAGTTTCCGATTACAATAAACTTGCTTATTGCATGGGTAAAAAAGAAACCTCATGCTCGGCATTAACAAAAAAATTAAAAACAAAAATCAAATTATGCAAAAGGAATACAAAGAAAAACTATCTATTAATTAAACTAGTTTTTCTTTTTTCAACACAAAATTCAAATAAAAAAACAGAAGGCAAACACAAAAAGCAAAAATTAACAGCAAAGTCTCGGAGTTTTTTTCAAACACTAGATATTGTTTTAGAATAACTTAAGAAGATAAGTCCAGAAAATTTTCCCGGTGACATATCATGCAGATCCCCACTTAAACTCATTAACGCACTAAAAAGTCTGACAAACTCATCCGACACTTTCCCAAATATAGCCCTATAGTTTAATAGCGAATCATTAAAAAACTATAGTCCCAGCACAGTAGCAGTGTTTATTATGGTAGATGTGAAAAACTTTTAGCGGAGCTACGATGGGAGAAACAATTGTAGCCATAGATGGTAAAAACCATTCATTCAAAGCCTTGAAGATTGGAAAATTTGTCTAAAGTGTCCACGTAGTCAAGTCGAGATCGCATATGCGCATTGAAATTGACCTCTGCAAAATACAAGTCAGGAGTCGACGAAAAGCCAACGAAAGCCTTCAAGACGCAAAATTGAGTTGAGGATTTTTCACACGGATTCTTCGAAGTTTCTAAGCTACTAATTTCAATATTAGCACAAGTAGTTCAAAAACAATAGCAAAAAACTAACTTCAAGCAAAGTTTAAATGTTCATTCCCAAAATAAACATCACTTCAACAGCCCCACCAAAATTATATTGCTTTATTTTGGCGGTCTATGAAACGAAAAAAAAATTTGCATCATTTTTTACCACAAAATATTTTAAAGCGAGAAGAGTTAGTGAAAATCTTTTCATCGCCCCAACAAATTTTGCCTCAACTTCCATTGTATTCTGAAACAGTGCGCTATATCACCAAAAAATTAAGTCTGTAAGGTTTCTACTATGATACCACTGTATTTAGACAAAATACCATACCCAAACTCCCATAAAATTGATACCAAACCAAAAATCCCATGCCATTAAAAAGATCCCATGCATTACAAACAAAAGAAATGATCAAAGTGTAATCAGATGCAAACCTTGAGTAATGATACTTCAATTAAGTTCACGCTATCAATGAACAACGCAAATGTAAGATAACCAAATTCAAATTGGAATCATTTGATGGATCATCATACTGACAGCATGTATTTGATTTAGTGTTAATCAGGTCTTGAATTAGAATCGCTCAGTTAAAAATGCATACACTTTGCAATCTTTATCTCACTTTTTAACTCACTGAATTGACAAAAGTGAGTTCTTTAATTTGGGAAGACTCACAAAAAGCCAAACATTTATTATTCTTGACATGAAAATCACAAGAAGCGCGACACACTGTCAAAAAAATACCTTGGCTGCAGCAAATAGAGATCAAGTGAGTGTCCTAAAATTTTAATCACATGTAGGAGCGATACAATCTAAAACAGCAGCAAGCATACTCATGAACTCAACGTAGGACGCTCAGAAGCTCGAAAATTATTCCAGCGAATGGAGGAGACAGTCAGGAATTAACTAAGCTCGGTAATTAGATAATCGCAGCTAGTTTAAAATTGGTGCAGGGCGACAAGGCAAAACAACTGTACTTGCTGTTTCAGTCGGTGATAATGCGAACTCTAAACAAAAGCAAGCAAGTGACATCCCTGCCCACCATTGCCACAGATGACAGTCTTTTCGAAATACCGGACCGTTTTAAATTATTTGGCTTTTCGATAGCGGAAAATTAGATTTGAGACGTTGTGGTTGAGGACTTGTGGACCCTTTGAGTATTTCACCCAGCGGAAAAAAAGTTAATCAAATCGTTACGAAAAATTAATACAATATTTTTATTTTAAAGCGGCATTTGAATTGCAGTGAAAATGATTTCTAAGTTTAAAAATGTTGGGAAAACTTGTTTTTATTTTCGTACCAAATTGCTTTGTCTCCAAAATCTGGCCATTTTTGGCAAAATGGGTTTCGAGTAATTGGAAAACCCTCTTAGCTTAATTTGTAGTTTAGTCTATTTTGAAGGTTGAGTTTCATTTTGGAGGCCAAACTATTGTCACTTAAAGTAAAAATTGTACAGCGAAAATTTTGAAGTGTCTTTGATTTTAAACGACTGATCTGATTGAATAACTGCCTTAAGTTTTTTAAATTTTGTGTTACTTCATTATCGTATCTTAAATTGTGGATAATTTCGGAGCGAGGTATCTCTTTGACTGGTATCTTATCGGCTGTGATCTTCTCGTTAGGAATCTAATGATAAGGGAACTTTTGCCATGTAACCTTTACTACAATCGATCTCCTTACAGTGTGGTACCATACCTGGAAAAGCATTTAAATAACAGACAACTTTGCTGCGAGTTTGATTTAAAGAGGCGAAGCTGTAACTTCGCAAGCACAAACGTCCAAACGGCGAAAGTTCAGTAGCTTCAACATGCTCAAAAATTCAAATTTTGCTTAAAAGAAATTGGAATGTAAAAATTAAAAGTAAAACATTCGCTTTTCATGTAAAAAAAATGGAATGTATTAAATCAAATTGTATATAAGTTATGCATTTCGAAAATCGTGCAATGTACTTTGAGTTGAAAAATTTTTGATTATTTTTTAATTTTTTTTTTACTTTTTTACTGCTGTATGAAACAAATCGTTTTTTTTTTCGATTCAAATGATCAATTAAAAAGCATTAACTGTTGCGCAGTTAAGTCGCACTTAAACGTCAAAAACTCATGGTATTTTACTGCTAATGCATTCGATTGACTCAAAAAAGCCTCCAAAAGTAGCTTTTTTAATTGCGACTTAGTTTGTGAAAAAAGTTGCATCGTAATATCACACTACGCTACACGCATGTGTAAATATACATTTAAAGTCAGACAATAATCTGATTTTAGGTTTTTTTTTGGCTTTCAAAAAAAAACAATTATTTGAAAAACATTTTTAGGTCAAGCAAATTGATTTCTTGAGCTTTCTGTAAAAACTACAAGACTTCGCCAAAACTTTGTGTGACGCCGATGAACTTCCAAAAAACACAGGCCATATACCTGAAAATATCGTTCGCCTATCCCATCTGCTCTCCTAATTCCCGCTACTGATCGCACCTGAACGATAATTTTTCTGTTACCTCAAAGAATTTCGCTTGTAATCGGGTTAAAAAAGTACCAACTTGATATCACAAAACAAACTATGTACTATGAGTTTGACACCATACCTGACAAGGATTTCCAATGATACCGCACAGGGTCGAATCTAGGATTTTCTCGAGAGGGGTGCATAGTGATTTTCGTACTTAATCGTCTATCCAACTAAATTGATTTTCCAAGCTATCTCTTTTTTCGGCGCGGGTTCCTTCTCACGACTCAAGTACCATACCTGTGATAATCTGATTATGACATCACAACCGAACTCTAAAGTTTGTTACACAAAAAACACAGGCCACCTGACGGTTAAAAAAGTATTGAACGCAAGAAAACAGAAAAACTCTTGACCTTTTTAGATTTTTCAAGGAAAAATGCCTGCTCTTTGAGTTTCAAAAGCAATTTATGATTGATGTTTTTGTTATAAAATTTACCCAATTTGAGACATCTGGATCAATAGGCAAACTTTCAATTCCGCTGAGAAATCTGATAACTATTTCCCACTTTCGAAACTAGTCAAGTGGACAAAATGAAGCGCTAATTCAGGTTTTTACTCTCTAAAATGCCTGTTCTCAATTTCTTTTTCTGGCAAAAATTACTTCAATTTTCAGCGAAACTTTTACAAAATTATCAGAGCTACCAGCTATGAATCTATCAATATTTGGTTTCAAAGACTTGCCAATGTAATTTGGGTCTAAAAATGCCAGTTTGGCTCGTCTGCAAACTTTAGCATCGTAGTAAACTCTTTCAGGAATAAGAGAAGTAAAAAAAGCTCATGCGACGTGAAACATTCTCAGCGTTAAAATTGAAATAAACAGTGTGAACAATTTTACCAGAATCTGCTGTTACTTAATTTTTCACACGGATTAAAAACTTAGTGCAGATGAAGAAATCTGGAGTTTTCAGACTCTGATTACTTTGGTAAAATTTTCAAACCAAATAATGATAGAATAATATATTGGTTTATGTAAAAAACTCGCTGAAAATCGAAGTAAACGTTGCCAAAAAAGGACAATAAAGACAATAAAACAGTTATTTTAGAGAGTAAAAGCCTGAATTTGCTTTTAAATTTGTTTACTAGTGTAGGAGATCATCACGTTTTCAGCGATTCTTACACGTTTGCTGTTCGATAGTGGAGTTTAAGTTCCTTTTATAAAAGGAAATGAAGTGAAAGAAATCAAAAGCCAAACCACGAAAAATCACAACTGAGGGTGACAAAACTCCTAAAAAACATAAACAAAATTCAAGGCCTATATAAGAGTACTCGCTATGTTCACAACTCTTAAACGCAAAACTATAATTGATATCCAACGAGTTTGTTATCGAATCTGAAAACGCCGCGACGGCTAAAATAAAACCGAGATAGCAAGAAATCAAAATTTTGGTCTGCATTCATGCCCCATCATCTACTCGACAACTTGATCGACTAATAAAATAACAGTAATGAACGATTTCTGATAGTGTCTGATTATACAAAATTTAATTTGATTGAAATTTCAAAATTATTTACACATCTGAATTTACAAAACATTTGCTGGTTTTGTTGATATAAGAATTGAGAATCTTATGAAGTTATTTAAAAAATTTGCAGATCACCAATTTAGGCAAATTTTTTCAACGTTCCAACAAACTCGACAAGGTACCTTAATTCAAAAAACCAAATATCGCTGTGATCACAAAAATTCAAGTTTTCCAACAAAAAAATTTGAGCCACAAAAAATGACAATTTTTTTACAAGACTGAGAAAACAATTGCTAAACTGGTGATGTTCTTATAAAAAATAATGGTGCCATCATGTACAAATAGAAGATTTGGAGATTTGGTGTTCTACAAGATAACTACTAGCAGACTTTATTTGACAAGTAGTTCTTAGACTGTGAGAATCCACTGAACATATTGGAACACCAGCGACTCCGTCTGAGCTTGAGTAGTCGGATGGCGAGATAGAGGGAGAGGGTGAAGGTGGTGAGGAGGAAGAGAAAGGCTAGAAGTGCCTGGTGGGAAGACAGCTCAGGGTCGCTTCTGTCCACCGGGTACATGCCTCGATCCACTAAAAACATTTTTTAAAGTTAAGCAGCCAGAGACATCAATCTGTAGGTTTTACAATCGAACTGAACTAATCTATGGCTTATTTAAAAGATATGCCCGACTAGGGTCCTTTGGGTATATGCCTCGGTCCCCTAAACACATCATTTTTTATTTTCACAGCCAGGGGCTTAACCTGTAGTAGGTTTTTTCGCTCGATCCAAACTACGCTATCTATGGCTTGCTTCGAATATTTCCATTATAAATTAAAATGCACTTGAGATTGCAAACCCACAAATATATAATTGCCAGGCAAGCACCACTGCCATGAAGATAGAGTTACAGACAACAGTTTTATTCGAAGAAAGTGACGGACAATTTTCGACTTTTAACAAGCCAGTTGTGATCGGATTTTTTTAAGTTATGCCCTGAGCTCAAAACTAGAGATGCCATGAGCTTAAAATTTAAATCATAGCCAACAGTTGTAAAAGAGTCAATGAACGCAAGCAAACAGAAAAAATACTGACTTGAGTTTTGAAAAAGTTTGAATTTCGAACTTCAAAAAATATAGATGCACTTTAAGTTCTTTGAATTTCAATAATAATTTAGGTTTGACTCTTTTTTGATAAAATTTAGACAGTTTGAGAAAACTGGATCAATATGTAAATTCTTGTTCCGCTGGGAAATTTGAAAACTAAAATCCACTTTCGAAATAAGAAGCCGAGACGTTTTATTTGTGAATTTACACTTTTGCTGTTCAAAAGTGGAGTTTTTCTTCCTTTTAACGAAAGAAATGAACTGAACTTTAAAAAAATTAAGCCGCGAAAAATCAAACTAGATTGTGAACGAATTTAAAGATTTTTTCTTAAAACAAAAGAAACAAATCATCACGACTTACATAACAAGCTTTCACGATTATCATTGTCTCCTAAATATTTAATTTGTGAACATCTTCCGTCTGTAACTAAATGGCCCTCGGGTACCTAGTAAAGAAAATCGTCCCTATAAAGCCTCGTATCAGGGCGATGCCCTAAAGGTTCCGACTGCCCTTTAAAGTCTATGGAGTAGTGTTCGCTTTAGAAAAAAATTGATAAAACTTTCAAAAAAAAAAATTTTCCGATTTTTTTGCAAAAATCATCCCCCCTCACGCTATATAAAGTACACAGCAAAACATTTAACATATAGCTAAGTAATAAAGAGATCAAATAGATAGTATCCCTCAATTCAATTTGGAACAATTTCTAATACGGATTAAATATCCGCTTACGCGTTAACAGCACAAACTACATCGCGCGTTAATCATTCCAAATTGGCATTCTTTAAACCCCAATAGCTTTATGAAAAATGTACACAGGTGAAATATTGTTTTAAATTTGAAGAAAAATAATTTTCGGCTGAAAGAAAAAAAATCCCGCCAAAAATGGCTAGTTAAAAAGTCGAAAATTGTCAGCAGAAAAAAAAACACCTACATTACAAATATTCCGTCACTTTCTACGAAAGTTGGCACAATAAATCAACGGTTGCGTATATGAGAGTTTTTACCTAGTAAAGAAACTCTCCCATCCGTTTTGCAAAAAAAGGGATATAGTTAAATAGATCCATCAATGTCAGACGAGCATGTTGGTCTTATCAAAACTGTTATCAGATGCTGAATATATACGCTACCAGATATAGGCACGGATATTAAAATTTCATGAAAATAAGGATTATAAAAAAATGGAAGTTTTGTCAACTTTTTGGTAAATCGCTCAAGCTTTCCCAAAACACTATCAATGATAATATTTTGAATAAATTTTCTGCGCCGCAGGCAAACTTTTCAACATGTTTCAGTCTCCTAATTCAAATCTAATTGGTAGACCGTCTTTCTTCTTCATTTTTAACACCGTCTTTCTTCTTCATTAAAAGATTATGATTGAAGCGAAATGAATGTGTTAAGCCAATTTATCTCATACACGGTAGCTTATTTGTATCCAATTTTGGAAGTCAGAATATTCCAACTGCAAAATTCGAGACAAAACCTTGAAAAAATTGATAAAATTTAACATCTATTTAACGGCGTTGCTCATATTTGTGCGCTGCCCCCCTTCTTAAGTGGCTCTTTGAAGGGATTTTCATTTGACCTGAATTATTTGTACACACCTTTCAGTGTTTCGTAGAGTCCTGGTCGGATGATTTGGATGGGCTGCTTACTTCTCACTTTGACCATTTTCGAACCCTTCGGTGGAGAGTCGTTGTCAGAATACAGGGACCTGCGTCTTCTTCGCCTACTTCCGCAGGCAGTTGGATCTAAACGAAACACATCCGTTGACCTTATAAAACAGATCATACTCATGGTATACTTATAGTGTTAATATTGGTTCAAAATACAAAATTTAGAATGCAATTTCAGTGGGTAATAAATAATTCGGTCAGTTCGTCGGAGCCAAAAGTTGATGATTTTGGGCACCGTTTGACATTTTTTTCAACACTGTTGTACTTCGGCATTGTTGTACTGCCTCAATAATTCTAACTATTTTATGATTTGTTTTACCGGTGATGTCACAGAAGCTCTCGCCTTCAGGACATGCTCTGACGTCACAGTGCAAGTAGACAGAGGCGGTTAAGACTTGATCTGAGCTCTCATCGAACCAAGCGAAGGCGTTGAAGTGGAATGCGTCTGCTAGGTGTATTGGAGGAGTGTCCCTCTCAAACGAGTCATCTGCCGCACAGCTATATAGCAATAATAAATTGTTTTCAAGCTTAAACCCAGAAAAATACAGAAAATTGTACAATTTATAACCCAAGTCTCAAGCCTGAGAGAACGTCATTTGACCACTAAAAAGGTAATGACACTTCCGATCACAGTGCTAAGCAGATATACACGAGCTGACTTTTGAGGGGATGAGAAATCTTAACAGGATGCATTTGTAAATTAGGGGTTGTTTAATTTTACAGAAGCGGATTTAGGGGGCTCGATAAATAATTGAAAAACACTTTTTGAAACTTCAGGAAGGTTTTTTTTGGTAATAACCTCAACAAAAAGTGTCCACAAATATCATTGTCAAAAATTCTGTCAAAAAAGACGCAAATGCTATCTTTGGACGCTGTTGGTCGACGTTGTGATCAAAAAAGTATTCTCAAGTTTCAAAAAGTCATTATCAATCATCCATGCGAAGGTCTTTTAGGCATTTAAAGAAACTCGCAAAATAAATTTGGTCAAACCAAACAAAATTCGACGAGGATTTCAAAAACTTTTCAGGGAATTTTTATCACTTCGGAAACAGTATTCAAGTTTGATGGTAATATGCAAAAATGTGTCGGATAAGGGCCAACCGTTTTTTTTAACAAATAAAGATCGGACTATGGCAGTGTATTGCAACTTACGTGTCAGCTTCGATGGTGTAAAATTCTGCGTCATCTGGGTTGGACGTCTTAGTGGCCTTGCAATCTGTGGCTACTACTTGGAAGTTCTGCAGGTTGAAATCTCCCGTCACCATCACGTACATCGGCTCGCCCAAGATCATGGGGGGAGATTGTCTGCATTTCAACAACATTGTTATAATAATACATGGTGATATTATATGGCTTCCTTACAAAAATTATAGGATCATTTGGTATCTTTCAAATGCAACTGTATTGAACTGATGCGCAAATGAGTGATTTATTGGGATCTCCTTAGCTACCCCCTTGCAAAAGGGGGAGATCGTTACCAGGTAAAAAACTTACATATGCTTAACCGTTTAGTTCTTTATAGGATTGGCAATTCGTTACGGGGGGTGGTAGTTGAAGACATCCGAGTTTTGGTATAAACAAGCTTTTAGGGATTAAATCCACCAAAACTCAACGTTTTGAACTCGAATCGATCATGGATTTACTATCTAATCGGTGAGATATATTTCTATCTAAAGATTTTAATAACGACGGTGCTGGTAAATTACTGCACAAAGTTTCTACGAATCTACCTCTGATATTTCTTACATCGGAATTTTTTCTGATATTTCTTAAATATTTCATAGTCCAATTGTAGATTCAATTTAACATTTGTCCTAAACAATTATACAGCTAATAATTCATAGATCACAACTTACGATGTGTAAAAATCCTGAAAGGTGTTGTCGAAATACACATTCATAGAAAATTGGAACTGGTTGGTTCCGGCCGCCGCCTGATCCGCCTCTTGAATGGTCTTCACTTGTCCAGTCTCTATGCCTTCGCCATTGTAGTAACAAAAGGCTGACACGTGCCAGTCGTTGAACCTCGTGATAGTCAGTTGGTTCTGTGACGTCAGAGCTTTGGCCGCTGGATCGTCCCGACTGCGACTGACTCTTTGTTCGTAAAGCACGTTTACCGTAACTAAATAAAACTTTTTTTTTCGATTAAAACCATAGACTGACTACAACGCGCACTGTTTAGTTCTTTTAGGAGAACCACTGTCTTTACATATGCAAATACCTACATGCTGTGAAGTTTCGCCTCACGAAAGGGGCTCAGAAATGTTGCCTCACCCTCAAACAAGGAGCATGATTGATCTTAGTGGGCCTCGAGCCACCGACCTTTCGACCGAGAGCCACTTTACAATCGCTACCCTCAATTATTTAATAGTGTTCTTTGCATAACCTGATGCTGCTGTGGCATGCAAATTTTTTTTTGTCTTTGTAAAATACGCTATGATGCGTGGTTTGAGGGATAGAAATGTTCTCAATGTCAAAAAATGTAGTTTAACAAGTATTGGTTCAAAAAAAGTAATCGGCGAACGTTTTACACCTTAAGAGTAAACAAGACAGATCGTATATCCGGGCAAAGCGCTGAGTTTTTTTAGATTACTAACGGAGTATGCTTGCACTAGATTAAAATCCGAATGGATTTGCTGCTCGAATAAGACTTTGATAGTTTCAATACGCGAATTTTTTATGCGTGGCAAATTGTATGCACTCATAAACATTCCAAATTGAATTGAGACAAAGCTAATTGGTCTTATGAATTGAACATACGACTCAACTTAAAGTTTGATACTATCAGCCTAAAATTCGTTATCTGTCAATATTTCAAAAACCAAAAATTTTTCAAGGCCAATTAATGGGCAGTCGGAACAATCAGGTCTTTACCCTGATACGAGCTGTCTTGTGATAATCTCGTATCGTATTAGTAATGCCAAAATGCTGGCTCCAATTCAATTGGTCTAATTTAATTCGCCGAAAACCCGTGATATATGAACGTAACATATCGCGCGTTAAATATTACGAGCTGTCCAAATTAGCCATTTCCGAGTCCCTGTAAAACTAATCACAGGGATAAAATCTTTTTAAAATTGAGCTCAAGTAAACGATGGTATAAAAAATCATCAAAAACGTTTAGTTAAGAAAAAGTTAATGCGCCCTGAAGGTTTTGAAAGCCTTTTAATGTTTCTGAAGATAATCTCGATTTTCAAAATTTGCAAATTTGCAATTTTCTGAAATTTGCAAAAAAAAATTGGAAAAATGTTTGAAATCATCTAACTACACGTTAATTAAATCAGAAAGTGACATAAATATCACACATTAAAGTATTAAAATGAACAGATCGCATACCTTTTTTCAATTTGAAACAATTTGTGAACCCCGAATTAAATAACCGTTTACGAGTTAAAAATTGCAAGATTATATAACCCTCATTTTTCAATTTTTATTACAAACAATCGCAAGTAAATCACCTTTTTAAATTTAAGCTCAAAACATCAATGACTTTCTGATCATAAGAAAATCTGTCAAAACGACAGGTTAAAAAATTGAAATTGTTCTTGAGAAAAAAGCCACCGCAATCAGAAGTACTCAAAAACCACAAAGCAGAAATTTTTTTCAAGACTCAGAACAAAAAGCGTTGAATAGAAAAAAAACAAATCAACCTAATTTTTCCAGATTGTAAGAACAAGATTGCAAATGATCTTACCATTCAAGAAGGAACTGGAAAAACGAATTGAAAAAAAATATCAAAAAATGACGGTTTATAGCATTCGAAAATTTATTGTAACCGAAAAATAACAATGAAAATTTTATGTTAACAAAATTTTAGGTAAAAAATATCCAGCAGAAAAAAATTTTTGAAAAAAAAATCAAATTTAAATTTGATAGTAAAAACTATAGGTCCTGGAAGCTCTTTTGTTTTCAAGAACAATTTAGGATTAACACTTTTTGATGAAACTTAACCAATTTGAGAAAACTGGATCTTTTTTGTTCCTCTGGGAAATCTGAAATAGAATCCACTTTCAAAATTGAAAATCGATCACGTTTTTCGTGACCTGTACACTTCTGCCGTTCGACAGTTGAATATATCTTCTTTTTAACAACGGAAAGAAGCTGAACTTACACAGAAATCAAAATAAAACTCAAATTTGAGCGCGGATAATATTTATGATTTCACAAATCTTTTTGCAGAAAATTGGATGTACCACATACATAGTGCTATACATGCAAAGTAATGTACACAGTTTGCAAATTAAACCCACAGAGCTTAAGTCGACAACCGTACAGCCGAAAAGTCATCAGCAAAAAAAAATATTGAAACTCAATTAGACACACAATGGTTAGATATCTAGATTTTAATCTCCAGTAGGTAATCGCATAGTGCTATACACGCAAAGTTATGTACACAGTTCGCAAATTAAACCGACAGATCTTAAGTCGACAACCGTACAGCCGAAAAGTCAAAAAGTCATCAGCAAAAAAATTAATATTGAAATTCGATAATTAGACACACAATGGTTAGATATCTAGATTTTAATTTCCAGTAGGTAATCGCATAGTGCTATACCGACAGAGCTTAAGTTGACAATCGTACAGCGGAAAAGTCATCAGCAAAAAAATAAATATTGAAATTCTATAATTAGACACACAATGGTTAGACATCTAGATTTTAATTTCCAGTAGATAATCGCATAGTGCTATACCGACAGAGCTTAAGTCGACAACCCCACAGCCGAAAAGTCATCAGCAAAAAAAATAAATATTGAAATTCTATAATTAGACACACAATGGGCAGATATCTAGATTTTAATTTCCAGTAGGTAGTACCCAGTAGTTCATTTTGAATTTTCAGGAAATTTGGCATGTCAGTAGCACAAAGGATTCAAGTGATCTTTTTAAGCAAGTTGTTAACCTGAACAAAGTCTATATTCAGATTTCATAACTCTTGCTAATCGCAAGCGTTAAGATTCAACTTTGTCAAATATCATGAGCGGAGAAATTGCAAAAAAAACCATAGCTTAGTGAAATTGAATATTGGGCTGGTGACCGATTAACTAAAAAGTAATAATTCAGAGGAAAGGTACCAACCGTTGTCTGCCACACCGATGTCAACCACTTCTCTAGAAGAGCCACACTGCAGTGGATCTGAGTCCAGATTGAACTGTCTGTAGAAGTAGCTGTCCCTGATGAACTGAGGGTACACTGTCCAGTCAAAAGTACAAGTTCTGTCTCGGGCCAACAAATCGGGAAAGTCTAAAACAGAAACCTCACTACAATACTCCACTCATTATACACTCTTCAACATCTGTTCAGAGGCCAAACCTAATTTTTGGGCTTCATACGCAACATTGAAAGAACATGTGTAGTTATATCACGAAATTTATGCTTCTGTTATACGGAGGAAAGACAGCAGTGATTTTCTATTAAAAAAATTTGATTATATTTTAACTTTAAATTTAACTCCAAATGAAATTTAGATAAAATTTCGAATTTAATTTAATGTCAATTGATTTAAATGCAAAACTCTGAATGCGAACAATTTTAATGAGAGACACTAAATGAACTCATGCGAAACAACTATTTAAAGTTACCCATTAACACCCTTTTTTATCATTTTACTTTTCGCTGATTCCATTCATTTTTCAAGTGTCGAAAGCATAACATTTTCGAAATGGTTTATTCTCGTCACAGGCAAAATTTTTGCTAAACATGTAATTGTATTCGCTACAATATATCATCATTCCAGGCAAAACGTTCTCAAAACCGATTGCCCTTGAAAAAAATCAAAGTTGTTTGCAAGGAGCTAACCTACTGACGCATACTGTGCACTCAAGCTATAAATGAAGTCTCCACTGCCATCTGATCCTACAGTTAGACCATACAAGTAGTAATCTGGGAGGCCAGTGGGTGCAGATGGCTGAGTGAATGCCGTCTGAGAGCAGGCAGAGTCGTCCACAGGACCCATACAGCCGCCACTGATATCCATATTGTTACTATTCCTGCAACAAGAATATCAAATTGCGCTTCATCGAGAGCAAGAGACATCCAAGTCAACCGCTGCAAAACCCGGTATTTAAACAAAGTACAGTTTAATAAAAAACATCTCATGCAGCCGAAGCAAAAAAAATGTTTTTCAACTGTAAGTTTTAAAGAGTAAATTTCTGAAACGTGGATAAAGCAAGAAGATGATGTGAACTTATGGAATCTTAAACCTCATACACATGTAATGTGTAGATATGACGGACAATCGATGCTTAAAAAAAAAAAGTGGTGGTGTTTTTTCAGATTTACCAATCAAGTTGGCCCTAAAATTGAGAGACGATTTAAACTTGTTCAATAGCGAAAAATATGGATCAGTGTGGGTTGATTGCCAATCTAGTTTTAATGTTGGCAGTAAGAAAAATGTTAATTAACTTATTTTATAACCCGAACAGAACGAATTTTATTGCGTTTCTGGAACAACTTACTGAACATTAATAATGCACTTTTTGTATCTAACTGAATAACTTCGATGGGTGATTAACGCATTAATTAATTAAACACGGAGAAAGAAAATCTGAAATCAATCATCATTCCATATGGATTTCAAAAGTTTATTGTCCATATGATGCAACACGAGCCAGTTCTTCGACAAAAACCCATATTAATTGTCTGATTGATGAATTTGAGACAAATGGAAATGATTTTTGCTTTGATACGCCTTACACAACAGATCATTTTGCTACACTGATTTTGACAAACAATAAATGTGGAAAAAACAAACCGCAAGCAGTTTTTACTTTCAATTAAAAAATAGCAAAAATTGGATTTTGCCAGACTCTATCCGCTCTTCCTTGGTTTCAATTAAATCAATGTACAGACGCACAAAACATGATTTCAATGCTGTTAAATCTAGATTTTTTTGCTTTTCAGCAACTAAAGATTATATCAATGTACAGACGCACAAAACATGTTTTCAGTGCTGTTAAAATTAGATTCTTATGGTCTTCAGCAACTGAAAACGAAACAAGAATCACTTCTGGCTCATCGAAATGAAAATTGGCGAAAATATTGACTTTGTCGCGACCAAATAGCCGAAGTAGTTAAGGATAAACAAAACAAACAATCGGACTTATTCTTTCCTTTTCTCATCACAATCTAGCAAAAATTGAGAACTTTTAACCAAATTCGAGGTTCCAGTTCCTTCAATTCCAGAATTACTGCTCTGCGTGATTCAATCAAGAAAACAAATATTAAAATTGCCAATCAATATATTTGTGTTTTTTCAAAATTAGGGAAATTATTTGGAGCTGCTAAACTTCAGTTTTATGATCAAGGTACTTCTAACTTACCAATTTTTGATTTTCAGCACAGAACAGTGTAACAACGTTATCATATACTGCGAGAACTAAATTTGGGACTTTATTGATCCCGCTTGGGCAACAAACAATGTACAATCAATAATTGTTGCTAATACCTGCATAGATGAGAATATTTTTCTCACGGAATTGAAAAAAGAAAAACTACACAATTGATCTTAGCAATTAATAACACATTAAAAGAACCTATGCAATTTGAAAAAAACTTTGAGACAATTCTTCATGCTCAACTTAAGAAACACTCGGAAAAACATCAAATTACGCCTCCTTTTCATTTTGGATTTCGCAAAAAACTTTCCACACAAAATTCGCGTATTTACGTTGCCGAAAAAATATTCGAAAAGTATTTGATTCCAAAAAAAATTGTTCATGCAGCTTTTTTGAACCTTTCAAAAGCTTTTGACTATATTTCTTATGCCTTAATTGAAAATTTTTGTAACAAAAAAGCCTGTTGAAAGAGTAAATGTCAATGGAATTTATTCGGACTGGATAGATGTCAAAAAAAGGGTGACGCAACGAACAGTACTGGGTCCGTTGTTGTTCAATTTGGATGTCAATGATAATCAAAATCGTATCAGCGATGGATGTACTCTGGACAGTATGCTGACGATTGCATTATGCATGCGTCATCTATGTCATCAAGTAATGCTCTGAGCCAATTAGAAAAATCCTTACACAAAATTACCTTCTTTTTTTGCTGAAAATGAGTAAAATCAAAATGAATCGAAATTGGATTTTATAAATTTTTGGCAAAAAAGTGATAAGCAGAAAGTGGAATCAGTTTGTTTCGATATAAACGAACATTAGGAAGAGAAAAAGTCTGAATGCAAACAATTACGTTTGATTCTAGATTCTCATCTGTTATTTCAAACTAAAAAAAACTGTTGAACTGGGCCCCAAAACTGTTGAACTGGGCCCCAAAACGCACGCTTTTCTGGTCCAAAATAAAGTCAGCCACCATACTGCGTACATACAAGTCTTTTATCGGAATTTAAAACAGAATTAAATTGAAAAAATTAACTTATCGACTTCAATATCCTCCTTAGAAGAGGAAAGTTTTGCCAATGCATTAAAACTGCCAATAGCCAATACAGAATTAAAAATCGCACCAAGCACAAAATTCTTGATAACCATTATTCAACTGCTTCTCTACAAAAATTGTTCATTCGCCTCACATCAAAAAAATTTAACTCAATGCTAACAACATTTTGAAAACTCGACAACACTACTACAACATTTAAGAAAAAATTGAAACAGTTATACACTAAACAAATGCAATCTAATACAGCATGTACGCAAACAATTACATGGTGTGAGTTCCATTTTCATTAAAACGTTGGTATATATCACCAGTAATATTTACCGAAGTTGTTAAAGTTTAAGTGTTTTATCCTTATATACAAATGTGTTTTATTTATGTTGTTATGTCTTAGTTTGATGTTTTTAATCCTGCAGTAAATTCATCGCTTTTCACTTATTTGTTCACTTCTCTTTTCTAAATACTATTCAAGCAACTAATCTGAAAACTTGAATTTATCTTTATTACTTTTTACTGTATTGATGCATAGATTTTTATACAGTAAGTGAAGTGTTATTTCTTCTTTTTCTTCTAGTCACATGATTTAATAAACAGAAGGACACTGCTGGAAAAATTGAAAAAACTCTTGAAGAATCCCTACGAGCTTCAATTCATTCTATAGAGTGTAAATTTTTTTATAGCATAGTCATTCACTGCATCAAGAGAGCTAGGACCGGCTATTCAGCCTAGCAAGTAGCTACCCGCTGGGATCACTATCGCAATTAGGTAACGACAAAAAAATACAGTAAAATTTTTTTTCCCAGAAATACACGAAGATTTCGTTTCATAGACTGCAAATATCGATCAAACCTGGATCGCCTTTTCACAGGATATGAAAACTTGGGCAACTTTTGAAAAGAAATAGAAAAATAAAACCACCAGTTTTTATCAGGAAGCTAAAAAGTATGTATCTATTCTTCGTACGGAGCTCAACAGCTCCATTGTTGGTTCTTTTTTGGTAAATGGCTCTAGTTTAAATTCTTGCTAGCAGATTTAAAATTAGGGAGCCATAATCTTCAGAAAAAAATTTGCTGCACTGGAACTTAACAAGTTTAAGATATCCTAATGAATGAAAGACCAGAGGTCGATTTGAAAAATTCTCATCGTGAAAACATGTTGTTAGTCTATAATATCACTTTTTTCTCTCACTGTTGCTGCTGTTTTAAACAAAAAGAAAAACATCGATGCTACTGTTGTTTATATAATGCTGTTGGTCAATTTGGTCAGATTTAATTAAGAGGCTCATTAAAATTGGTGCCAAAGAGATACACTTCGAGTTTGTCAATAAAAAAAGCGAATTCTATAATTAAAACCAATAACCGATTTGTAAGAGAGTCTTCAAATCACTTGAACTGCACTCCACTTTCCGAGCAATTATGCGAAGTAGTCTGCAGTTGGCTTATTATTCTGAATCTATTCCATCCAAAATCTCATAAAACTGATTTTCTCAAAACTCATTAAAAGGAAACTGCTTTTGTTTATCGTTCAAAATGGCGAAAAATTTAAAAGGAAAAAGCGGCCAACAATGATAACAGTACTAAACTGAACAAGACTGCTCGTATATCAGACCAAAGGCCTGAAAGTTCCGCCTGCCCCTTAACTGGATTCGAGACAAATAATTTATTCTCGACTGCCAAGATATCATATATTAACTTCTAAAACTTGATTCGTTTACGGAATTGATATGACAATTCAATTTGGAAAGATCTTGAGTGCGGGATAATTGGTAATACATAAACAATTTGTATATTAAAAGTATTCAGTAATAAACAAGGAGCTCTCAACCAAACTTAAGGTAGTGCGAGCGAACCCGATTGTATTCATAAGATTCCAGGATAGATCACCACGCAATCAAATTTCTTTCGTGAAATTGGTCAGAACAAAAAACTCCAAGCATAGAGATTCCTCACTTTCTTCGAAAAGCTAAAGCTGGAAGTACGTGTTTGGTATTTTTTGCGTTTGAAACACTGATACGTGATGAAATGCGTATTTTCAAAAATTGGACTGTGCCCAAAACCTGACTTGTTTCTCTACTAAAATAAGTAAGAGTGAAAATTTTGGAATTTTCCCAAGATATAACAATGTTCTGACAAAAAGTCGCAGATTCTGTTGGAAATATTGTAGCAACCAGTTCTTTCGATACGACCCTTTATCTAAGATTAGATAGAGTAGTTTTTTAAAAGAAATCAGAAAGGTTCCAAAAACGGTCAAAAAATCAAAACTTTGACTTTTCCGAGGGCCATAACTTTTAATGTTAAAGAAATGGGCGAAGTCGCGTATGCGAGGAGCTTACTACAGCCCATTCTTCGGATTGAACACAATTTCGCAGATTTGGGAGGGTAGTTTTCGACAAGTCAAAAAATTCGAAAACGGTCAAAAAAACAAATATTTGGTTATTCTTAGGACCATAATTTTTTGTGTGAAAAAAATTGGGCTTAGAGGCTTATGCAGGAGAGCTTTCCGCAAACGGTTCTATCAATTAAAGACAAAATCTCCGATTTGGGAGGCTAGTTTGAGAAAACGAAAAAAATATACGGATAAAATACTCCCCCACAGACATTTTCGAAGGCTGTAGACAGTGGGTTAAAGTAAAAAGAGACTAGGTGATTATGCAGGCATTCAAAGGAGTCGGCGGTCTCTCCATTGAAAACCCCTTTTATGCAAATAGGTAGAATAGTATTTGAGAAAACTGAAAATTTTGCAAAGAACAACGAAAAAAGTTTCCTCAGCGTCTAAGAAAATAATTGAAAACCCAATCCCACACATTTTTTATAAAACTTGTTTTTATCTAACAGAAATTGTAGGCAAACATGCCAAGCAAAACATTTGAAATTAGAATAAGCAAAGAAATATAAGTTACGAAGCGGAAAAGAAGCCGACAATATTTAAGCAGACATCAGTTGAACCGAAAAATTTGTCTTTGTACAAAAAAAACTTTGAAAGTCGTGTGTTTAAACTTTAACGCGTGGTGTGGCTCTTTAGCCGACATAACTTGAGCAGACAAATAAAAATCCAAAAATTCAATTTTTTCCCGAAATATTATTTTCCATGTTATACATTGCGAAAAAAAAATCATGTCCTGCTGGGACTAGAACTCCAGACCTTAGGGTACAAAAGAAACCGCTTTACCTCCAGGCCAAGTGGAAAGGAATCTGGAAAATGTTAAGGTTCAAAAACAAAAACAAATTCAATTCGTTGTAACCAAAGTTGTTTACGGGGAAAAAGTTTCGTTCCCAATCACAAGACACTTGCTCGTACAAGTGTAAAAATGAAAAGTTTTTGTTGCTTTTTAAATTTTCTATCCAGACGCACTTCAACCTGCAAAGGAAAAAAACTCGCATCTACTAAATTAATTGAATAACTTAGCTCGTCTTAAATCAATTTGTAATGATTGCCAATACGCCGTATGCTAAACGTTAACAAAGGCGACAATTAAAGCTTTTTTTTACCAGATGTTGAATAAAAAAGAAGTCCATTTTTTTTGAAAAAATAAGCTAAAATTTTTATGAAAAATATATCCAGATAAATATCTACAAAAGCTTCAAACCTTCGTCTCGGATGAGGCTCATAAACAGCCTTAGAAAGCATTGAGAATCATGACTGAGCGGCAAAAAATTCAAAAAACTTGAGCCGACACTCCTTAAGCCGAAAACGAAACTGTAGTCAAAAAAGTTTCAAGCTTTTAAAATTTTGAAATCAAAAATTATACAACAATCCATCCGTGCTGAAACAGGCAAAAACCTTTTAAAAAATTCGCCCATAAAACTACGCAACATTAGTTGACTAAGCCGACATGACATTTGACGAACCCGTTGAAAAAAATTATTCAAAATCAAAGTTGGTAAATTCACAATTACAAATAAGAAATTGCTTCAAAAGTGTACGAGATAGCATGTACTGTTTTTGAAAAAAAAAAGAAAAACAGTCTTCAAAAATTAAGACAAAAACCAGAAGTCCAAAAAATCAGATTTTTACAATAAATTTTTTTGACAAAATCAATTACAGCCTCAAAAGAACTCAGATTTTTATTTCCGCAGCAGAAATTGAGCAGCAGCAACAAAAACTGAGTAGCAGAATTTGCGAATCAAAAGTTGTTCGAGGGAAAAAACTAATTCCCGATTACAAGTCACTTGCTCTCGCAAAAGAAAAAATAGAGAAGAAAATAGAAATTTCACGCTCCTAATTATCAAAAATTGGCAACTTTCAAACTCTCAAAACCTGACAAAAAAGCTTGCAAAAGAAATCCTTTCAATTTTGAGCTCAGGGAATTAATATCAACACAGAGGCAAAGCTGCGCTTCGCAAAAATTTGCGAAAACACAACCAAAAAGCAGCTCTACCAAATGATATAAGAAAAAGTAGAAATGAGCCTCGAATTTTTAAAAACTCGAAGCTTAGCAAAAACTCGAATTACCAAAATCTGCGACCTAGCAAATTTGAGTCTCACGCACTAACCATTCAGCCACGGATGCTTAAAATCCCCAGGAACTAACCACCAATAACGCACATACATAGGCTAACAAATTGCCAGATCGATGCCGCAAAAGTAGCACCAAATACAAAAAGATAAAATTTTTCATGCAATAAATTGCAAATCAAAAAGCCGCATTATGTATAATTTATGCATTTCAAAAAAAATGCGAGATACATTGAATTAGAAAATTTCTGAAACCGAGATTTTATTTTTGTTATGTTGTTTGAAACAATAAGTTTTTTCGGTTCACTTGATGAATTAAAATTGCATCAACTGTGTAAACTTATAACTATTCGAACGTCAAAGCACATGTTATCAAAAGCTGTAAAGGTGCCCCACCATTATTGATGTGCCGCACCATAAAGGTGCCGCACCAATATTTGCGACTTAGGTTGGAAAAAAAGGTTCGCACTAATACACTCGCTTGGCAAGTGTAACCAGATGGTTAAAAAAAATAGCTTGAATTAAAAAACCACCAAGCAAAAATATTCTGTCACTTTCTTCGAAAGTCAAAACATTAAGACACATTTATTTCAAAATTTTACGATTTTCAAGAATTGAACTGAGAACTAAGATTTGAAGAACTTCTGTTGAAAATAATATGAGAATTTCAGCAGTTAACTCAAAAAATTACATATTTTTAATTCAAATGAATGGAAGCCAAACTCATGTCCGAAATACCGAACGACTAAAAATTTCGAAAAGAAATAAACTTCCATTAAAATGTCAAAAACTGACTGATTTTCATGCTCTTGAATGCTGAGAGAATTACTTAATACAAAACTTCTCCCTAATACAACTTTCGGGCACTCGGCCATTCGGTGACCCGGTATTCACACAAATGACTCCACTAAAAATATTTAACACAGATGCGAAGCAGCAACTTCGCAAACAAAACCAAGAAAAAAAACGGCAAAAAGTAGTGCTAAAAGGGTCAAAAAAATTGAAAATAAAGGGAAGAAAAACAAAACTAATTAAAATTCTGCTAGATGCCGGAATCGAACTCCCAACCTTAAGAGTCCTACTATCTGCGCAATCATAGGCTCTTCGCAAACCTTCAACATTACCCACCAATAAACATGATACAAAGATATAACGCTATGCAGCAAAAGTAAACCAGATATAATGTTATAGCTGCAAAAACGGTACCAAATATATAAGACCTTTCATTTGCGACTTGGGTTGGAAAAAAAGTGGATACCCCATTATGACAATATGCTCAGCTTGTGTAAAACCACTATTGAGTCCACTTGAAATTTGAATTCGAAAAACGAGCTTCAAAAGCAGGCTCAGCAACTTTTGCTAATCTCGCAGAACCTAGTTAAGAGCGCAGAAAAATTTTAAAAGGCAACAGAGAGCAAAATTCAATGTATGCAGCAAATATTAGCCACAAAGGGTAGTTTTAGAGCTCGTCTGCCAAAAAATAGTAGTCATAGAATTTTTCTTAAAATCAGCCCCTGGGCGGTGAGAGTGACTCTCGTTGATGCAGCAGAATCTTGGTTAAACTCTTTGAAGCAGCAGAATTTCGGTTGTAAACCTGTCTGGGAAGTCATTTTTTGAGGCAAAAACAAACAATTGAATCGAAACAAGAAGAATGAATTAACTTAGCTTACAGACATTTTAAATTACTTGATTGTAGTTGAAGTCAAATAAACCGAAAAAAAAACACTTAATGTTTCTTGGATTTGCGAGATTTACCGGTGTACAAAAATAAAAGTCTGGGTATACGCAATATTTTTTTGAAAGCTTTATCCGGCCAGAGCTTGGAAAATAAAGGTGCAAAAAAAACTGGACAAGACAATCCGCCGTACATTAAACCAAGATCTTCACCTGAACTCAATTCCAGCTAGACAAGTCCCTCCATCTGCAATTATAACAGACACTGGCACATTGTCATATCCAGATGTAATTCCAGACCAGTCAACCTCCACTTTATTACCACTCTGACTATTATCATAACCGCTCTGAGATCCAGCAATCCACTCGTTAATGATAACACCATCTCTGTCGGCGTAGCCCAAAGAGAGTCCTCGGATGCAGGACCCTGAGTTGTCCCAGTAGACTTGCACCTTTGCGGGGTATCCTGAGAAATCCGGGTTGATGGGACTGTTAGCGTAAGTAAAGTGGTTCTCCTTTAGCCACTGTGATTGTACTTCGCTTACTGATTGTGTAATTTGGGTTAAGTTATTGGCGTCGCCTAGGTCGACTTCGGTGTTTGTGCCGGCAGACGAAAAGCGAACGGTGACTAAACAAGCAGTACGGAATTTAAACTGTTCTGCTCATAATACCTCTGTTCAACTGTTCAAAGGCAATCACTATTTTCTGACACTCAAAGCTTAATTGGAACCAAAAATGTTTTTCCATGAGATCGAAATATGAATGATTTGAAAAGGGAAATTTATTTTGTCTTACCTTCAGGCAAAGCCTCATAGTTGACCTGGAGATCCATTTTGCCATCATTCGTGCACTGAATTTGGACTCCCGATGCTGAAAACAATTGAAGTACCCCGAACTGATGCGTTATGTCAACAAAACGATCTAAAATTATATTAGAAAAAAATTTTCCTAAAGTTTCGTAGGCCTTGATCACGAATTTCGCAACTATATTTCAATTACCATGAAATTTTTAGATAAGTAATAGACTCAAAAAATAATAACTAGTATTGATCAAAAAATGGCGCCAACCTGTTTTGAGCTGTCCGTTGTTGCTGTACGAATAAACTGTGCTCTCTGCCTGATTACTATCCGGAACATAACTTATTAGCCCAGTAAGAGCATAATCATAAGTAGTACCAGCCACCAATTGATAAGCATAAGCAGTTCCGTCTCTGCCTCTCGATTGTGATTGGTCGAAGTTGGATAAGAAAGAGTTTTGAGATGCGAAAAAGTATCCGTTCAGGCTGAGGTCAACACTTGAGAAGTCGGCTGGATTATACCACACAATACTCTTCAAGTTAGCATCTGTTCCGCCTACAGCAATCAAAAATCCAGATGCATGTAAAATCCTATTTAAACTCAAAAACACAAAAAATTTAAGGAATGGTTAAGCTTCTGTTTTTAACAACAAAGAAAGCAACTGAAAAGTTTTCGACATTTCTTGAAGTAGACTTGCCAAAATATAATAATGAAACTATAAATTTTCCTTCAAACTCGATACATGATGATTGGATTTTCAGTAACTGAAAATTAAATTCATTCTTTTTGCTTAAAGCTAGGTACTTTTTATGTAGTATATCTTTTATTGGCACTTACTAGTAAAAACTGTCGATTGGTAAGCTGCTCCATCAGAAACATCTCTCGTGTAGACCAATACAGGCTCGCGCGCTTCTGCAACAAAAAAACTATCAAAAATAAGTTTTTTTTATTTCTGCGATATCGTTTGTATTAGATTTCGTTAATATGAATTTTGCGAGTTTCATTACTAGTTACAAAACTTATACATGCTTAACGGTCGAAAAATTTCTTTAAAAGGGGTAAAAATAGCAAGGGAAACAGCAAAAGAGATCTTTTTTGTGTAATGTCACACTTACGGGCCCAGTAAAACGTCAATTGTTGTGTTGTCGATCCAGACACTACTGTCTCAATGTACCAGAGGATCTTGCTTTGACCCGAGGAGGAAGTGAAGTCGAACTCAACTGATAGGCCAGATGTTGTTCCTATTAGCTGGTAATTGTTATCATTCCAGGAGAATGCCAGACCATTTAGGGTATCAGACGTTGAACTGTAGTACACAACAACCTAAAAATGTAACTTTCAAATACTTTCAGTTCTCTTTCTTACCTCTGTTTAATATTTTAGAGTGAAAATTGACTCAAATTTAAAGTTTTGTAACATATATTAAAGTTGCTAAAATTGAAGTTTCTAAACTGTGCGGCAGACTGAACCATAGCGTTTCTCGTACTCAAATGCTACGATATTTATATCGATGAGCGTCAACCATTGATTCACCGGGGAAATTTTCATTACAGTTACTATAGCTTGACGTATTCAACAACAAACCATTTTCTACAATTAATGCTCAATTTCATTAATTAGAGAGAACGAAAAATAGTTGCCAAGATATCTACCTGAAAAATAAGCTACAGATTGACTGTGAACTGCATCTTTAAGGTCTACAAACATTTTCCATTGTCAAGATTCTTTCGAACGGTCAAGATTTGAAAAACATACAATGAGGCGAAGTTGTGCTTGCAAACACAATCAAAACTAAACAGAAACTCAAAACCTCGTACTATTGAAAAATTGTCACGAAAAAATTTGAAGCTTAGTTCAAATATTTTCGCGCACAGGCTATGTAAATCACTAAGTAATACAATTCTAGTCTAGGAACGATTTAAAAAGACCAAACAACTAGTCTCAATTGAAGTAGAAATGAATTCTGAGCTGGATTTATTCACCGCCTTGTTTTACGCGTAAATAGCAAAGTGGTAAACAGCGCAGACATTATTTAACCGAAATTGGTCAATTCTCAAATCCCAAGACAATGTTAAAAAACTGCTCGTATATCCGGGCAAAACCCTGAATGTTTCGACAGCCCTTCAACTGGCCTCGGAGAGTTTTCAAAGAAAAATTCGACACACCACTTGCGATACAATACAAACATAAAAAAAACATAAATCGAAAAAAAATTTTGATGTTGAAAAATATTAGAAACCAAAATTTTTGTATGTCTCGATAAAACAACTAGGGGCCCAGCTAAAGCTGGAGCTACGTGTTTGATATTAAATGCGTTTGCCATACTGATGCGGCAACAAAAATGTGATTTCAACACTAGGACTTTGCCCAAAACCTTAGTTGTTTCTCTAGTAAAATAAGCGAGGAGAGTAAAAAAAAACTGAATAAAATAGGAAAAATTAGGGAGTCGACGCTTCTGCAGGGACAACTATCGCAAAATTTCTAAAAAACAGTCATAAGTTATAAAAACGTTTAAACGACTTTTCAAAGCAGAAAAGATTCCGAAAACCGAGTTTCTCGATTGAATACAACCTGAGATTTGGCACAGTAGCGTAAGGTCAAGCAATTTCCAAAAATCTCAGACTTGGGAGCGTAGTTCTTGAGAAAAATCAAAAACTTAAACAAAAAAATTCGTTCAAAAATCAAAGTTTTGACTAGTGTGAAGTCTATAACTTTTGGTGTCAGAAAAATTGGATTGTAATCGCAAGTTTTTGAGAAAATTTAAAGTTTAAAATCCTGAATGAAAAATTTGACTTTTCTGAGGACAAAAACTTTTTGTATAAAAAACTTTTAAAGTGATGGCTAAAACGGGAGCTTCCCACTTTTTATTATCTCTATTGAACCATAAAATCAGATTTGACACGTTAGTTTTCGAGAAAAGTCAAAAAGATTCACGAAACAGTCAAAAATCAAAGTTTGACATAGCCGCTTATGCAGAAAAATTTTCAACAAAATTTTAGTCATTGAAGCTAAAAACTCAGATTTGATAGTGGCAGTTTTTGAGAAAACTTTAAAAAATCAAAAATATGGGTCGATTATTCCCCAACAGACTTTTTCGAAGGCTTTAGACAGAGGGGTCAAAATAAAAGAGACTCCAGAGGAGTATGCAGGCATACAGAGGAGGAGAATGGAGCGTCTTGGTATTGATACCCTGTTTTGAACTTTAATTAAAATTTCTGAGAAAAACTAAAATTTTTCCAATAAATTTGGAAATAATTCACAATAACGAAAATGAAAAAATTTCAACAAACCGATTGGTAAACCAACAACCAACTGGAAAAGTGCAGAGGGTAGTGTTAGAATGTGTGTTTCCTCGAAAAGACCGAAAATTGAGTTATTAGGTCGATAACAATTAGGCCAAAATATTTCGGACCGACGAATTTTTTCAGCGAATTAAAAAAAGGAAATACGAAGTCAAATTAAGTAAAATAACAAACTGTAGGAGTAATACAAACACTAAAAGCAACAATAAAGAAAAAATAGGCACAGCACAAAAAATTATTCCAAGATGTGACGACTAAGCCTAAAACAGACAAGCAAACATTTAATTGAACGAAAAAAACTTCGAGCGGCACTAAAAAGAAGTCAAGGCTAGTAGATTTACAAAATGAAGGAGTAAACAAAAACACAGAAAGCATTTAAAATGAAATTGCATTCAGTTAAAAACCTAAAATATCGCAATTAAGCCGACAAAACATAAGAGAACAAATCATAAGCCGACAATGTTTTTTGAAATGGGAAATTTCCCGCTTGGAAAAAAAGGCCCTGCCAGCTCAGATTGGAACTCAGGGCCTTTGCTGTCCCAGGCGTATCAGTTGCTTCCAGGCTGAATAAGCCGGAGACGTTTAAAAATTCGAATTCATTATGAACCAAGG